ACGGAGTGACCTCGTTCGCGGTGACACACCATGTGCTCCCTCAGTGGGCCCAGCAATGGCGACCTGTCCAATACAGCCGGTCTGGTGGACCAAAATAGACCATAGGTGGACAATGGTGGGCACTGCTGGCAGGCCGGGCTGTGTACTGCAGGGGGATGTCGGGGTTTATTGGAGCTTGATAGCACGCGGCAGAGTTCAGTGGAATATAGTGGAATGTGGTTGTCAGTGGACTGTGGGGACTGCGATGAGGTTTCATGAAATTCAGTAAAACGCAGTGGACTGGTCTCGAGTAGCTTGGAATATGTTGAACATCTTTGGACCTTCATGCCTGTGCTGGACTTCTGTCAATCTTTGCGAGCTGTCGTTAACTTCTGAATGTTTCGTGGTGAGCAGTAAAAGTTAGTGAACTTGTGGAACATCACCGGCTATATTAGATCACATTGAACCACTGCATGGGCCACATGGCACATTGAACCGCTCTGTACGACAGTGGACCTCAGTGGACTACTGTGGACCACTGTGGACCACTGTGAACCACAGTAGACTACTCTCTACTACAGAGGACCACATTAGACCACTCCGTCCGACTGTGGACCACTGTGGACCGTTGTGTCCGTCGCCACCATCACCGAGGCCGCGCGGTGATTTATTTCAGCGCCCTATGAGACTACCCAGCGATTATCGATCTCCGGCCGTCGGGCGCCACAAACCATAACCCACCCCGGGGCCGGGCCCGCCGGGCACTGGCCGGCATAACAGCCTCGAAATGAGCACCGGCCGACGACGGGTCGGCATTTTTACTGGACGGCGTCGTCGAACTGCACGTCGACGACGGTGCTTCGTCGTTGCCGACGATGGGGAGGGGGGAGGTTGTTAGGGGAGCGACATTGCTTGGAGCTGGGGTTAATTGAGGTTATGATCACGCTATGGTGAATGGGTGGATTGATGGCTATGTAATTAGTTATTGCGCGAGGAACGATAAAGAATTGCGCACCGCGGAATGTTATCACGCATTGCACAAATACAAGACCCTAAAACAAGCATAAAGCTCGGATAATAACAAAACAGGCACTTCGAGTCCATGTCATGGATTGATCAGACATGTTTGACTTTTGTATACTTCAATACAGTAAGCTGTATCCGTGGCAATAATTAATCTAATTAACGTTTTAGGCGTTCAAATGGAAATGTTTTACAAGAATATTGTCTCTGAAAGACAGAATTAACTGATAAAATATCCTTTATTCCATTGAGCCCTCTCCAATCTCCATGACTGAAGCGCTGCATTGGCTCTCAGGCCGTGTGCAAAAACTATAACTCTGCAATCTGCATCCAGTTAAAAACGGTTGCAGATTTGTTGCCATATGTCTGTTTTCTATTGACATATTGATTTAGACTCGGTGCCCAGGCCTCTGTCGAAATTAGCCTCTGCGACGTTCCTCTGACAGGCAACACCAGATCACTTAACCGTCCGGAGGCGATTTGTAAGGTGTCACTCATGCCAATCCACAAACCGAAATAAATCTAGTGCACTGAACCAACAACTAAACTGAAATATTCAGCCTACCATCGACCACCCGTTCTTGTGATGTAAATATATTTGTAAGAAAAGCGTGCTGACATATGTAAACAGGCTGAATTCATAAATTACTCGAGTATTTGTGTAGACGGCAAAGAGCACCCCAGAGACCCTGGAAATGGAGACAAATGCCTGGTGAAGCCAGACATGCCCTAATTTCCCGTCTCCAGAGCGGAAAAGAAACATGCAAACTTTTAAGGATGGAACTGCAGTCTCGAGAAAGAGATCATACATCAAAGGTGATTTGAGTAAGAGTCATGAAATTATTATGAAGGAACTCAATTTGTAAAGCACGGAAGTACTAATGGTGTCAGCGATTCCACCGCTAAAGTTATTCATGAAAAACTTAGGGCGCTTATCCGACGTAAGTGCGATGGTATGTAGTTACTATACGAAGGGATATTGCTCATTGCAGAGCTGCTTGAATGCGAATGTGTTACATAACGGACACCCCCAAATGATATACGCGAGCAATGGCGTATTTGAGCATCTTTGTTAGTAAAATGGTTTGTAATGATAACCTTATGCTCATTCTTTAATTTTTTAGTTGAGATTGAATGATTAAACAAATTCATTTATATCTTTCGGCTTGCGCATTGTTCAGAATGTACAAAACATTCAGAATGTTTCTTTTTGTACATTCTGAAGATGGTGCAAGCCGAAATATACCTGTAAATGAATCTATTCAGTCCTTCAACCTCAACTAAAAAGTTCAAAGAATGAGCATCAAACAATTAATACAAACTATATTAGCACCAAATGAGCCACAGTTAACCCGCGCCCTGGTGGGGTCTGTTTATAACGCGACCTGGTGGGGGGGGGGGCTATTTTTTGCCCCCCCTCGTATCTCCGAAACTACTGGACGGATCCGCAAAATTCAAACGGCGTTCGAAAGGCCTGTCAAATTTGTCGAAGGAAACCAAATTTCATTGACCTCGGGGTCACCGATGACGTCACAGGTCAGGTCAAAGATGAAATGTTTCACCGTTCACGGGTCATCTAGGGAATGCGCTATAACACCGAAGAAAACGCATTTTGTCGAGAATCAGCGATAGGGCGTCAGTTGCCTAGTACATATATTGCTATAAGAGGTCACTGACATTACCAGGTCACAGGTCAGGTCACCAAGGGTCACAGGTCAGGTCACATGAACCTAACTTTAGGTACTAAGGTTGTGCGATGCATGTTTTATGGCCAATTTTTCATTTCCAACTCAATGGTGTTGGTTATAAGACTATCAGGTACGGCTTAGGCCACTTTCTGGTGGAGGTCAGGTCAAGGTCAGGTCAAAAAAGGTCAAATTTCAAAGTTGATATTTTTGCATAAAATGGGTATTGATTCGATGCAGCTCATCACGGGGAGTCTAATGGTGGTCTTTGTTTTGCGCTACGAGGTCTAGAATTGCAAAAAATTGAGTTTGAAAATTTGACGTCATCAATTTTGAACAGTTTTTTCGCTGTAACTTGGCCAAAAAAAGAGGTATCGATCTCAAATTTGGTATGTAGATAGAAGGCGGTAAGGACTATCACATATATTCCGGTTGTTTCGAAATTCAAAAAACTTTTTGGATTTTTCGGCTATTATAATCAAAAAATCTATTTTTTGATTTTTGGGGGTCAAAATCCAAAAATTTCAAAAATCCGAGATAGCAGTTTTGTAGCCCTGTCGATTCTACAGCTTTTATGTCTTTATCGTTTTTCTGTATTTGCAAAGCTATAGGCCTGACAGCTCTTCCCGCGAAACCCTTTTTTGGGTCGAAAACGGCAGAACATGACGTCACTCTGACGTCATTTCCGGCCAACCTATCATAGCCTTTGGATAAATTTTTGGTCACAATGTGTAAAATTGATGTCCGGGAGGGTACTGAAAGTTTGGTGACGATCGGCGCAGCGGTTCTGGAGATATATCGAAAAGTCTGGAGGGGGGGGGCAAAAAATAGCCCCCCCCCCACCAGGGCGCGGGTTAAGTATTGGCAGTGTCTTAGTTACCGTACCACATAGCTGAACAGTGAACAACTTAAAAATATGCTTTCAAAAACCCTAACTTTTTATTGCATCAATTCGAAGATAATTTTTCCCATTGGATAAAGAGATGAAAACAGACCGAAATGAATGCAACGTATTCGTCAAAATTCTACAGTTAGCAGAATGAGCATGGTATAACAGGCCACTCGACACTGAAAAAAACCTTTACTCTGCGATCTTGATAGCCTGAGGCCATAAAATATCATTGGTGAATGGATCGTCACTCAAAGCGAGTCTGAGCTGTATTAAAGGTAGCCCGACTAAAGCCTTTGAAGTTCCTCTCGCCGACCATGGACAGACAATGGCATTGAGTGAACAATAGACCTTTGTACAATGAATGAACACAAATTATCTTTCAATTTCACATATAACCTATTCGTATACGTACAAAAGAGTGGCTACTACCTACTGCATTTTGATACTGAATCACATAACACAGTGACGAAACGAATTAAATCATTCATTATGAAAGCGACACACGCACAACGCACATGCTAAGAACAAATCCCCCTGATGGATCTGTGGATGCGTTTTTAGAAGATCAAACGCTCCGTTGAAGCATTTGCAATGTTAAACCAACGGGTAGAGGTTCTTAGTCCTCAGGACTTAGTAGTAGTATAACTGATGATCAGACGCATATTGCATACGTGTAGGTACATAATGTGACTCCATTGCACATTAGAAAGCGTCATTTGAGTGTCTGGCTCCAAAACCGTTGGCTTATAAAGACAGCCGGCATGCATTGCTAATGCAAACGTGAAAAAGCATGCCTACCGTATTCCGAAATTTAGGACTCTGCAGCTGCATACATTTTATATTAGGTTCAATTTCACTAAAGGTGTAATTAGCTAATCCAAAGACAATGTTCAAAAAACAGACCAAGGCGAATTTATGGGCTGGCACCACGTAAATTGCCACAAGTTTTATTGAGGAGTGCCTGTTCATCTGTAATCAAATGAGCAGCTGAACTAACTCAGTGTACATTTCTGAATTATTTAATCAATAGAGTGGCCAGCGAAACATGAAAAGGCACACCGTAAGCATTGCCGTCTGCCTCTGACAACCATTGCGCCTTTTCCTCGCGCCTCTCAAGGACGGAGTTTGCAGCAATTAGTTTCCAGACTTCCTAATTAGAGGAATTATTTTTCGAAGACACTGTCAAGGCGCGAGGTTGTTAGCCAACTTCCGTCCACCAACACGATTTCCGCCCTTCGCAAACAGAAACTCAAACGACGGTAGCGACGCGACGGTAGTATCGTATCACAGCGCCGACGAGTCGTTTCGGTTACCGACGAACGTGACAAGCTCACAGGGGCACCTCTGCGCGGCGGCGGCGGCGGCCGACAGTCGCCAGCGTCGACGGCCGGCAGTATTTCGTCGGTACCGACGCGGGGAGGCCGTCGACGGCGCCAGTGGGCCGAGCGTTGGACTGTGTTGAGATTAGAGCGTAGACAGGTGGTTACGGCAGTGAATTGCTGAAATCAACATTGGCGGTGTACTCCAGCGTGTGTGATCTACCTGATTGCACAGGTGGAAACTGAGAAGGCTGGCATTGGCCAAAGGAGCTTGCGTAAAGAAGAAAACAGCGGTCTGGGCTACTTGAACGTACACAGGAATCGGTGGCAGCGCCCCGAATTGAGTGCTTTGTTGCTATCGCTGTCGGTAGAGAAGAAAAAAACTGGGGCGTTTCTAGCGGACGAAACCAAACTTGGCTCTTATCATGGGAGGGTTAAGTACAAAGGAAAAATTGGACTTGGTGAACGCCAACAACTTGACAAAACTGGACTCACAATCTCCTACAAGCACATCGCGTCGAAAGCGCTCTCTCAAGTCAACGCAGTGCCCAAAGAGTGATGACGGGCTTTCAGAAGCGGCAGTCGAGGAGCCGACACTGACGGCTGAAGATAAACGCTATCTCATAGAAACATGGAAGACTCTGGAGTCGGATCCGACCACAGTGGGCATCATTACTTTCTCACAGTAAGTGACTCAGAGCTTACATCCATGAGCGAAAGTTCAGTCGTAGTTTTCGAAGAATAAGGGTGGGGTGGGAGTCACACGGCAGTTCTTGATCGGTTGAGCTTTCTGAGTTTTGGGAGGTTAAAAAGTTTGATCATATTTTTCTATACCAGCAAAAGTTGCTGAACATACGAGAGTGTATCTGACTACATACATATTTTAGCTCATTGACGTGATTTATGTGCAAATGAATGCGTGTAGGAGGGAATAAACAAACAATTTCATGTTTGTGTTGACCTGACCTCCTTGGCCCCACCACTGCTCACAACTACACGTCGTTGGTGCTCGAAGCTGCAGCTCATTATCTGATGATGATCATACCTCATTAGCCTCGAGTGTTGCAGGGGTTCAGGCGTTAATCTGATCTAATCAACGAGGGTGTTTTGATATGCCCAGGCTGGCTTGTTAACCCGCGCGGGGCTGGGGTCTCCAGCCGAACGCGCGGGGCTGGGGGGGGGGGGTAAATTTTACCCCCCCCCCTGTTATCTCCCGAACTAATGGTCCGATTTGGAAAATTCAAACGCCAATCGAAAGATCTCATCACGAACAACTAAAAACATGTACTTAATTTTAAGTTTGAGGTCAAGGTCAAGGTCAGGTCAAGGGTACAAATTGCAAGTTCCTACGGTATCGGCCTTGCACCGTAGTTGCCGAAGAATGGAGTCATGGACTGAGACTGATCGCCCAAAACGTGTTCTTAGGCTACCAAGACAATATTCGTTGCATACAATATCATTCAGAGGTCAAGGTCAAGGTCAGGTCAGGTCAGGTCAGGTCACCAAAAACAAAATATAGAAAAGGACATGTGCGACACATGTTTTATGGGTCATTTTACTCATAGAATTCAATGGGCACACTCAATAAGTGATATGGACCACCTTTGGATGAATTTCAGGTCGAGGTCAGGTCAAGGTCAGGTCAAGTGAGGTCAAATTTTTGAAGTTGGTTGTTAAGGCCTAAAAAGGTGTCTAGCTGATGCAGTTTTTCACGGCGAATCGAATGGTGCTATTTTTGTTTCCGTACGAGGTCTAGAACTTCCAAAAAGTCATTTTTCAAAAAATTTGTGTGTCGTGACGTCATACAATTTTGAATAACTCCCACATTTTTGAACCGATTCTTCTAAAACTTGGTATGTAGGTGCACATAGACCACTTCTCTGACATATATTCCGGTTTTTTCGATACATTAAAAATTTTGGATTTTATAGTTATTTTCCCAAAAAAGTCAGTTTTTTGAAGAAAAAAAAATTGGGCCAAAATCCAAAATTTTCAAAAAACCGAGATAGCCATTTGATAGACAAAGTAGAATTACGTATATCCTTTTTTGTTACGTCTTGATTCCTTTAAAAATGAAGATGTTGTCGGCGTTTGAACTTTTGCCGTTTTTGAGGCGAAAATGGCGAACATGACGTCACTAAAACGTCTATTTCTAAAAAAAAAAAACCGACGGATTTCGCTCACATTTTCAGGGAACGTGTCAAATTGATGTAAAAAAAGGTACTGAAAGTTTGGCGGCGCTGCGCGCTGCCGTTTTTGAGATATTGCAAAAATTCGCGAGGGGGGTAAAATTTACCCCCCCCCCCAGCCCCGCGCGGGTTGATAATTAGGTGACACGATAAGCTTCTGAGTCACCGAGCGCCAAAATCCTGTTATCGAAGTTCCTTACTGATCATATTTCATTTTCAAATGAAATGCAATTTATCATCGAAATACTGGCACATTCATGTGGGGAGATACATAATGAGGTTGTAACGAAATAATCCAACTTACGCTACATGACTGATCAGTGGTCAGAAGCAGTAAATATGTGAAACTGCATACCATGTAAAACGCAAAATAATTCGTTGAGTTGCTAGCATCGGTAATCACTGTTCAAAGATGAAGATCAGAACGCGTACAATCGTTGTACAGTTCTTCGTCCCACTTGCGCAAAACCAGTATGAGATATATCACATGAGTAGACTGTGAACAACTGCAGCAATTGCAGGGCTCAGATTATCAAGAAGGCCTTAGTTTCGAAATGAGGAAGTTCAAAACCTCCTTTTCCTTGCATCAGCTGGCTCCCAATGGTGTGGTCAGATACATTGTGCCGGTGCCGTTACAAAGGCTACACCCCGATCTACATCTACATTGGATCGTTCTGCGTAGACCTGCAGCAGGCAATGTCGTCATGCCAGTTAAAATTGCGGGCGATGCGCTAGCGTAAGATTTTACATCAAACTTAACCCTCGCCCGCACATGCCATTTTCCCATCCTAGAACGCACATGGGGGGGTTGCCACCCCCCCCCCCGCGCCATTTCGTTCCTGTTGGAGATAGAGCTTAGCGATAAAGACAAAAAAGATTCTCTGGGAAGAGACGAATCCAATGATACCCAGTTTTACCTTCTCAGGTCAGTCATTGACCTTCCAGGTCAGGTCAAACTAAAAAATGTTGCTGTTTTGGGTCACCGTTGGATATCAAGTGCGCTGCTTCTCATATACCGATGACGATGCTGTTTTCTGGTGCCAAGCGAGCTAGAACCTCTTTGTCACACTACCCGACCAGATTTTTGCTGCTGAGGTCATTTCAGGTCAAGTTAGGACGTTAGGTCAAGGTCAATTATATGTGTTTGTATTTCTGTGTGTGTCTGTGTGTATACTGATGTGTGCACCGATTGTTTTTGTATCCATATTACATGAAATCATGAACTGAGAAGCTTTTAACCAAAAATGCAGTAAAAAAAAAACTTCACAAAAAGTAAATTCAGCTTGCCTAAAACGCAATAATCTTAGATGACCTAGGTTGACCTTGACCCTGACCTTGACACCTGTACATCGTCGAACAACATGTTCTATGATAGGTGGGAGGTAAGACTGGCAAAAAAGGCCGAAATCAAGGTGTCAAAAGCTCACAAGGCCCATGGCAAACGCAAGATGTTGAGAATTGGCCATTTGGGTCATGACATGACCTGAAAGACAAGGTCATATCTCCGAAACCAAAAATCACAGAAACTTAAAATTTTCAATGGACATCAAGAAAGGATAGAGGAGCAGCTATACGAAAAATCAGCCTTTTAGCTCTAAAAATGTTGAGTGCAGAGCGGAACGACTACCTGGGGGGGGGGGGGCAACCCCCTTCCCCCATGTGCGGACGAGGGTTAAGCACTCTCCAGCCTGTCACTGATCATAGCATTGTGTTTCAATTCATGTTTGAAAGGCCATTTGTCGTCTTCTTAGCTGCTTGATTATCGTTAATCAAAGGTCCGTCCATCTTTTTGGATGTTTTTTGAACAGGAGTATCAATTCGTTGTTGACGTGCTTTGCCGTTCATTGCCAGTAACAAAGAGCACACAACTTTGGATTAAATAAATTAGGCTATTGCCAGCTTCAAAGCTGTTTGTCAAAAACGACAAGTGGATAGTAATTACTTCTTCCTCTTTGCAAACGATGGATAATTTGTAAGTTGTTGATTGGTCTGAAGCGAATACAAAAAGTGCAAGGAAAAGATTTGTCGTGTCGTGCTTGCTTAGGATGCAATCGCAAACTTTTATGCGCGTTACGCGAGCTGTCATATACGAGTCTTTTTCGTGTTGTAGCAAAGCAATTGGGCCAGCAGGAAAAATTAACAGTTGCATAACTGTTAATTAATTTAAAGTAATTGTCACCACATTGCAAGTACATGGCAAAATAAAAGGTCTTTCTTCAAAATTCTCTTTTTGACCTATGGTTAAATCGAAGAGAACGCAACGAGTAATTTATGCTCAGTATCTCATGTTTTCAGCTGCTACCCAAATAGTTTCAGTTGTTCAGCTTCAGTTGTTACCCCCTTACTCCTCGCTACAGTCGTCATGCTTACACATTCGGTTACTCAATGCATTCTTGCATAAACCAAAAGTTAACGGATTCTTTTGTCTTATAGATGGACCGCTATGCTATTACTACCCGCTCTTGGCACGAAACAAGGCAGAAAATGTCATCATGACCATTACAATAAAGCTCTATTTCACGGCCTGTCAACCGGTTCAAATGTCACCGTTGACCAGTCAGTAAAGTCCTTGTCACCAAACCTTTTACCGGAAAGAATACTGCGGATTTCCGTTGCCCTAGCAACGGGATTCTGCTCGGACCGCTGCGACACGAACCGTCCCAGGGGTGGCTCGGAGAGTGAGGTAGTGGAGCTCACGAGATTTGCCGCCGAACGGAGGAACGGTAGAGGGAGAGAGAGAGAGAGAGAGAGAGAGAGAGAGAGAGAGAGAGAGAGAGAGAGAGAGAGAGAGAGAGAGAGGGAGAGAGAGAGAGAGGGAAGGGAGGGAGAGGGAGACGATAGGAATGTGAATTGCCGGAGCCCGGAGTTGAGGGAGTATTAGCGTGGCTTAGTGTCCGAGATAGGGAGAATATGATGACGGAGAAATACCTAATGGGAGGGAGGGAGAGAGAGAGAGGGGGAAGGGAGGGAGAGGGAGAGAGAAAGAGAATAAGAGGTAGTGGAAAAGAGATTAATAGGGAAGAGTTTTTTTTAGAGTGCTAACATGAATGAATGAATGAGTTAGTGTCAGTGAATGTGATCGAAAATGTGATCTTGAAGGAGAGGAAATGAAGAACGGCATTGTGAAGTAAGCAATACAAAGAGAGAATCTCAAATAGAGCGTTTATTTCGTATTCAGCATGATTACCATTCCTGGGTACCTATTTCATGCAAACCTGTCGACGTCCCTAACCGAAAATGTAGACCTGAATCGCGTTACCACTTCACTAAGATCACAAACCTTGCTCGGCGCCATGACGCGTCAGATTGAAATGCATCAGGGCCTGCCTCGAGTGGAACTCGCCTCGAAGGCCCATCTCGAGCAGGCCTAATTCAATTTCATCCACCAAAGAAGGACGAGTGCGGCCACAGAGATAGATTGTATGGGGATGACGGCGCCAGACAACTCGGCGCTGTCGGGAAGTCAAAGAAAGCATTCTCGACGGAAACTCGAATA